CTAGGTTTTGGCTTAAACAAATCTAGCTTTAGGTGGTTTGCCAGACCGGGTTAAGGAGCATGACTCCAGTGACTCTACAGGGGGAGACTGAAAGAGCAGCAAATGGCCTAGCTGCCACTCTCTTGTTCCTCCTGGGGCCTGCGCTCTGCCCAGCTAGTACCAGACAAAGAGGGCACTCTCAGCCCTGTAAATAGCTTCTTGTGTCAGGGGAGGAGGTGGGGCAGGGAATGGCAGCATCTTGCCAGCTTGGCTTGCTGCATTAAGGAAAGATGTCAGGACTTCTCAATTTGCTGCTGTCAGGCAAGTGTGCAATTTGTGTGGGTTTGTTTGAGGTCTGCATTCCTAGTAGAGCATTCCATCAAACTGCTGTTACTCAGATTGATGGGAGTTCGAGGAAAGTCAGAAGGAAACACACGAGGCTCTAGATCACAAGGAGAGAATAAAATGACGCTGTAAGTAAAAGAATTTTACTTTGCAGAATTGCAGGAGTGTGTGTGCAAGTGTGTGAGCCTGTATCCATCCTAGCGTGTCCCTAGGGAGAATGATGATGACCTTGTGGGTCACCTCTGGCTCTGAGCTACTTTTTTTTTTTTTTTTTTTAATGCAAACACAAGAGGTGAACCTTTGTGTTCAACAGGCACTGAACCCACATGTGCAGAGGCCAGGGAGACAGGATCAATGGTAGCATTTATGTAAGACATCGAGAGTTCAAGTGGATTTCAGATGTGGGTTTCTCGTAACACCAAGCAGTATTACTGCTTGAAGGACCCTTCTGTCCTGTTCTCTTAGTTCCTGACTTGATGCAGGCTGAAGGGCACTGGGAGTCCATGTGCAACTAACCATGTATATGTTCTCAGTGAGCCAGTCATATGACGGGTTTAGAGTCAGGTTAGTGTCTCGTTCTGACAAACACCCCAGGGAAGCCTTTCTGTTTATGGCTCTGGTTTTCCTCAGGGTCATTTTACTATTGTGGCATTCTAGTGAGATGCAGAATATGAAAAACTCCCTGGAACACTAAGTACTGCTAAATGGTGATTCTGTTCAAAGCTTAGGCAGAGGGTCCCAGCATTTCCGGCTTTTGACAGTTTTGCTCTCCAGTTTCTATCATTCTCCCTTGTTCCCTGTCTCTACCCACATGTACCTAGAAACATCCTCCATTCTTGTTCCTAACTGAGTATGTAGGGCTGTCCTGGACAATTAATTTCCTGTGGTTTTTGACTCAGTATTAGCAGCATTTCAAACAAGCCAGCTGAACAAACACTTCTTTAAAATGTCTCTGTGGTTCATCATCTGTATTTCTGTATGCTACATGTATGTGGGTGCCACAGGCCAGAACAAGGTGAAGTTCCCTGGGGCTGGAGATAAAGGTGGCTGGGGCTGCCCAGTGTGGGTGCTGGGAACCAAACTTAGGTCCTCTAGAAGAGCAGCAAGTGCTCTTAACTTCTGAGCCATCTCCAGCCCACACACACTGGGGAGGAGGGGTGTACAGGAGTGGTGGTAGCTGAAGACACAGCTGGCCGTCAGCAAGTCTGTGTGTTCCATACCAAGACATGCAGCTGAATCATGTTATTAGCAGATAGCAGTGTGATGTATGTACCTGAGCCATAAGCTCTGCTAGTTGCTGATAGGAAAATTTGCTTTTGAAAAAAAATCCAAGAAAATTCCCAACAGAATGCCATTGACTTAAGAACACAATGTGTCTCTTGGTTTTAACCATTTATTAGGAAGTGTTCAAAGACCTAGAGGACTGAATCTTAAGTATTGTATCTATATTCATAGAATGGCTATTTACAGTGTGTGCTGTTGTTTGACAGTAAGCCCACCTCTACATTTTAAATATCTGACTACCTTTTCCTTAACAGCATTGGAGTAGGAGGAATAAAGGTTTATAGTGCTATCAGTACTTAATATTTGTTCTTGACATAACTAAATGATGTGTTCTCTTCATCATGCATAGTTTCCCAGTGTACACTCTTACCAGTTTACACAGTAGAGTTGGTCTTCTGACTCCTACCATTAAATGGCTATCACTTGTCATCATCACACACTAAATTTAAGAATTTGGGTGGATTTAAATGCTTACCATTACAGATCAGCACCTAATACGAGGTTCTTGCATACGTGCTATTAATACTATTAATATATGAGTCTCAGAAAGGTTTTTAAAACATTTTTCTTTCCAGCCTTATTAAAGTTTCTTTGCACAATGCATTCTATATCTTGGCTGCCACTGCTTAAAATAGATAAGTTAGTCCCCTGTGTGTGACTCTATTTGTCTAGAGATGAATTGGTAGTTTCACTCAAGGATATAATTCTGCTGTATTCAACTCCTATAAATCCATACAATCTAGATGTTATGAAACTGACTCCATGAAGAGGGATGGGTGTGTATGCAAGGGGTGGGTTATGCCTCTTCAGACTCAGGATAATGAAGGGCAGTGAAGACAAGTGGGAAGGAATGATTGGAGAGCAAGGCAGATTTGCATGTTAGATCAGGAAGATGCTATGTATGCCAAGTTATAGAACCGTTTGTGCAGTCTCAGTGCCTGGTGCCAATGAGACCTGGGCCTGATTTTTATCTGCTTATCCTTGCCATCTCAGTGTAGGCATCTGTTTCTCAGAAGGGCCCATCTCAATGCTTAGTGGATTTTGCTCATTTCATTCTGTTCCTCATTAGGTTGTTAACACATTGAAAGGCTGTCTTGGTCATTAGCACTGTCTTCCCAAGCTCCTAATACAGTGCTTGGTACATCCTCAGCACTCAGATACTAGGAAGGTTGGGAGGGGCTCAGCTCCTATGAATAATTGAGAACAAATATGCTCTAAGTGTATTTTGGTATCTTTCTCTCAGAGCTATCTCATGATGGTTAGGCACACCACCCAGTAGCCTGTCTTTCATTTCAACAGTTGGAAAAAGAACCTAACCATTGTTTCTTCTTACTGGGAAGCTGAGCAAAATGAAAACACTGTCTGTTTGAAGAACTGCCCCTGGCAGCAACACTCACTGATGCTGGTCCCTGCCCATGGGTGGAGCAGTGGGGTGACTCTACTCCCAGCTCCTCATTGGCCCATCCTCCACCCTCTGTTCCCCTGAGAAGTCAAGTATGGATTTTGTCTGCTAGTTACCTTTAGCCCAGTGGGCAGCAGGGTAGGACTCGCATGTGACTAATGCCCTGAAAGACCTTGGCAGGCCTGGTAAGCACCCGCTGAGCTGCCCTGGCCCCCACCCCACCCCCATCCTCGCTGCCTTTTTCTGATTCTGCTGTGGTGTGTCACCTAGCAGTCAGCTGTCCATGGCACAGATGGTGAGTAGGCATGGCTACTTTCTTTCCAGATTTAAAATCTGAAGACGCTTGCCTATCTTTTTTTCTCTGTTTTCATGTTACCCTTGAGATCTCTGTGTGTGTGTGTGTGTGTGTGTGTGTGTGTGTGTGTGTGTGTGTATGTGTGTGTGTACATGCTTGCCCCAAGTGTGTGTGCGTGCGTGCGTGCGTGTGTGTGTGTGTGTGTGTGTGTGTGTGTGTGTGTGTGTGTGTGTGTACATGCTTGCTTGAGCTGTGATAGCACAAGCCTGAACAAGCTGAGCAAACGTGTTATGTTAGGTCCTGTCATATTCTTGGTTCAGAAAAGTAGCTTGATATTCTGTTACTCTGTGGGGGAAAATAGTATAATAGTAAAGATTTGATTTAAAAGGATACTTTCTATATAGTTTAGAAAAAAAAAAAATTCAGTCCTTTGGCCTGTCTTTCGAAGGAGTGTATGCTGTCTGAACTTCAATGGCAGCGTGAGCACTTGTTGCATTGCTGAGGAGTTTAGTGCAGGCTCTCGGCTCATTTCTCATTTCTCCCTTTGCTGTGTGCTAGCCTTGAGGGCAATTATTCATTCATAAGCTTTTAAATTAGAACTGTTCTTGCCCTCTAGTGAATGCTTAATTTTAAACTCGTCACTATATAAATTGCTCATAAGATGCAATTCTGGGCTTTGATATGTATCAGTGTTTATCTAATTTTCTTCCGTATATCTTGGGTTCTTATTTTGGCTCTGTAAATATGTATGGAAGCATTTTTATTACCATAGTAACTTAGTATTCTGAACTCAGGACTCGTCAGATTTTTGGGAGAGGAAATGATAACACCTAGCATTTCTTGAGCCATTTCTTGTGTGTGCTACCATCTTTGCTGTTGATAGGAATTCTTTAACAGTACTGAAAACTCACTGGAATGGGTACTGTTTTCATCTCCATTTACAGAGACACAAACCAAGGTTCAGTAGGGCCAAAGAAGCTGTTCACACAGCCAGGCCTTGCTTCCAGAGTAGAGTTTTCAATACCACCTTCCCTTTCTCTCAAATACAATTCTATAACCCCTCTGTAGACTTCTTGTGTTTGTTTTAAAATTTACAAGCACTGATTTATTTATTCATCTTAGATATACTATCTTGGGGAATATAAAAGAAAGCCATCTAATTAGAGCAGCCAGTTATGGATCTCCTGACATTTATAGCCACTTGTGCTGGGGAGTTGAGAGACAGGTTGAAATTTAGGCTGGTCTGTTTTACCAGTTGGGAAACTTGTTATGGAATCTCTTGGCAGAAGCAGCACCTCACGACTCTTAGGTGGTTTGGGCTTGTTCACTCTTCTTCACTCATGTTAACCCTGTTAGCCTTCACAATGAGGGCTGAGTGCCTTTGATTAGGTGGAAGGGGGCAAAGATGGTGTTTCCCTCTTTTCTGAATCACTTGAGCATCTTATGGCAAGAATTCTTTGAGTAATTTTAATGTAGGTAGTGAAAACTTTTTATATATAACACAATGGAGAACTGGAACACTGCTAAATGACCAGAATGTTACCAGAAAAGTGAAATCTGACTGTGGGGAGAGACCTACATCATTAGACTGTGGGTTGGTTGAGCAGAAAGCCACAGCACTGGTGATTAGCTGTGGGAATTCTGGGGAAGTGTTCTGCCCCCTGGAATGAACATGGCATCTTTCTCTCCCGACAGAATTCTGCCTAGGGACCTTCCAGCACAGGACCATGGAAGTCCATGAATTGTTCCGGTATTTTCGAATGCCAGAGCTGATTGACATCCGGCAGTACGTACGCACCCTTCCAACCAACACACTCATGGGCTTTGGAGCTTTCGCAGCACTTACCACCTTCTGGTATGCCACAAGACCCAAGGCCCTGAAGCCACCATGTGACCTCTCCATGCAGTCTGTGGAAGTAGCGGTAAGTGGGGGCCTAGCCTGCCTTGTGGGCTCTCTCTTTGTGTTCCCGATTAGTTTAACCTCACTGGTGTGTCTTTGAGGAGAGTTTATAAGGAGATGCCATGTAGATGCCAAATTACAGGGCGGGGCATGGGGACAGATAGTATGAGGTAGGTCACTTATCTCTCCATAGTTACATAGAAGATAGTTCCAGAATTGAGCTTCCAAGAGAACACGGAACTTGGTTCGGTAGGGAAGAGTCACAGATGTTACCAGGAGTTTTATTTGTGGCACATCTGATCTGTAGAACTCATTCTCACACTGTTGGAAGGGACTCTGTGGTTTCACAAAGGCTAAGGCTATAATTGGCACTTAACAGAGTATCATGGCTGCAGCATCTAGGATAGGGCATGAGGAACCAGCACTCAAGAGGCCTCTGTGCTTGCACTGTGAGCGCCATGTTGCCTGGGCAAACTGAAGGCCATGAAGAAGGAAGTCATGAATGTGAAAGCCAACGTGTGTGGTTAGGGATAGTGGATGGGATGGCATAGGAAGCTTGTAGACCCTACCATGGATATCCCTCCTTTGCACAGAAACATGTAAGTGACTGAAGAGCCCAAGAAGCCAGGTCCTCAGGGTGCGGATTCTGCACACAGCCCTCACTCTCCTCTGTTTTAACCAGAATTAGCTTCCAGATTTTACTACTTTAACACAGAAAGAGGCTGGCAAGCACACACATTTGCTGCTTTTAGATGGAGAGGTGAAAGGTGCCCCAACTTCTCCCCAGCTTGGTTGCTGTGGCAGACTAGTGTGCTTCTCTGCAGAAAGCCCTGGCTAGAATAATAGCTTTTTGATGCTAATGTGCTTTTATTTTAAACAAGTTCTGAGATCCACTAGTAACGAAATTCTTAAAATATACCAAATGTGTCAGTGATTTGTGACTGATACAGGCAAGGGCTGTCTTCTGAGAAAGCTGGGCTCTCTGCTTCGTATCCATGGGGAAGTGATGGCATCCACCCAACCTGCCACACTCCAGTGAGGAGGCGTCAACTTTTCCTTGAGTTGGTGTGGCTTTGTGGCATTCCTTAAATTCTGCATGGCACCTGGTACCATTGTTGTCACTATCAAAAGGGTAGGTGACAAGTACAGAGTTTTAGACACCAGTAAATCACCAGAAACTCTTGGAAACGCCGACTTCTCACCAGAGGAGACATTGTGAGGATACTTGCAATGTGCTTTTTAAAAAAGGATTTATTTATATTTTTATTACATGTGTGAGTATGTATCTACATGTTTATACACATACCATGTTGCATGCAGGTGCTCACAGAGGCTAGAAGATGAGGTCATATTTGGGACTGGAGTCGTAGATGGTTGTGAGCTGCTGTGTGGGTGTGGGAACCGAACCTGGTTCCTCTGAAAGAACAGAAAGTGCTCTTATCCACACTGTGCTGTCTCTCCAGCCCTCTGGGTATGTTTTAAAAAGTCCCATCTTAGCATGCAGTGATTGTTCCATATTAAAATAGCTATACATGTTCCCTAAAGGACAGTTTAAAATTAAGATAAAAAGAACACTTGAATTAGAATTTTACTATTCAGTATATGGGAATTTCGGATTTTTCTCTTTGTTTATAAGAAATAGATTTAGATTCAAGTTTTCGAATTCAGTGGTCTTAGGAATAATGAATTTGTTTTGCTTTTTAAAAATTGAAATACAAAATTTTAAATTTAAACATAGAATCTATAACTACTATAACTATAACAATAGTTATAGACACATTATAGGAGGCATTGTTCTATGGGCCTCTGATGGCAAGAAAGACAAATACCACTGATTTCTTAAGGTATTATTGTACCTGGCAATAGTTTTGGGGCTGTCTCTTAGGGACAAGTGCTGTTGTGTTCCTACTTTGAAAGCGAGTGAGTACCCCATTCGGTCTTTACCCTGCTCCTGCCAGCTCATGCAGTCTCTATCATTTCCCTTTCTATAAAGCTTAAGTTGAGGAGTCCACACTTTGGTCTGGACACTGCTCTTCCCTGCCCACTCTAGCTGTTTCCTAGCTCTGTTTTGTACAGTACTGACCCAGGGCTTCTGTGTAAGTTACATCTTAAAGTTTCCTATGACTCCTCAGGCTGGTAGAGGGGATGTGAGTCTACCTCTGTGGACCCATCAGGAAAGTGGCGGGGCTTGGGACCAGGACCTTGGAAATGGTTTGATTAGACTCTATTTCAAGAGCTCTGTCCTAGAGTGTGCTGTCACAGCCCACCTGTGAGCCATGGTTACCTAAAGGCTAGCCTCTCCCTTGGGGCCAGGAGGAACACCCACCTGCCATAGATGGATTCTTCTGCTGCTCCATGACTTTGACCAGACATGAAAACAGGCTTTGTGAGGGTGGGTTATTTGTTTGTTTTAAACTACTTCCACACTTGATATATGAGATCTCTTACTTTCCTCACCTGCCCTTGCTTGCTGAGTTTGAATTCCTCACGTCCCCTTAGTGAAGATGCTGCTCACAGTGGTGACAGTGACTTGAAGCCTTTGTTGGCTGGTTAGGGTCCAGGACCTGGGGCCTGCCAGCAGTTAAGAGAAACATCAAGGCTGAGACGTGTATAAACTGATGGCATGGCCATTGTCAGAGGAAGGGGTTTGATTGTAGATTGGAAGGAGCGAACCATCAGAGCCATCTGGAAGAGCCCAGAGCAGAATAGGGACAGCAGAGCGGGCCTGGCAATGAGAGGAGATGGGTAGGGAAGAGCGAGAGATGAAGGCTAAGAGAGGCTCAAGATAGGGTGAAAGAGGGGAAGACAAAGAGAGGGTGTTGCTGAGACAGCAGGGTTAGAAGGAGACTGAGTAGCTATGGAGAGGGAAGCCTATGAGCTGGACAGGTTTAGGGTAGGAGGGATGAGCAGAGCCAGGATGTCAGGATGGACTCTGAAATATTTAACCTGTGATACTGAGGGAGCCTAGAGGCCAGCACGTACCACAGATAGCCATTTGTCCCTTCTGCCAGTGATACGGGAGCAGGCTTCACAAGTTCCGGGGGAAAGCTGGCTTTTGTCTAACCACCACAGTTTGGGACAATGGAGTTTCCTTTGGACCTGACAAGAAGAACCTGGAAGACAGAGACTCAGCAGCCCTGATATAGTCATCTGACTCTTCTAACCCCCACATTTTATGTCTAAACACCAAGTATAGTTCCTGCCTGCTTAGGAGATATATGCCTGCCTGGCCTGTTCAGTACTAGTTAAAGCAAGGGTTCCTGGGAGGAGAGGTCACTACCATGATAAAGGAAGGCTAGGAGGGTCCAGTATATCTGAAGAGTCTGTGCAGGGAGCCTTGACTCAGGAGGAGGCTTTTCTGAAAATGAGTATGTAGGCCTGTAGTTTTAGCACTGAGACCTGAGAATTGCGAATCTGAGGGCCCATTGGGCTACATAGCAAGAGCCTGTCAAAACAAACCAACAATCAAGGAAAGATATGAAATGGTGGCTAAATTCTGTGGCTACAGAATCAGAAACTGTTATGAATCAGGTGGTTGATTCTATAGGAGAGCCTAGAAAGGCAGAGAGCTGTGAAACACCACCAGTTCTGTCCATCCTGAGTCTATCTTTGACCCAGGCTGGACACAGATGTGGCTGGAGTGGAACTTGTTACTGCTGGGGGGAATGTGCCCACCTATGAGGCTCAAGTACCCTTTGTTTGATTGTTTGTATTTTCCTCGAGACAGGGTTTCTCTATTAGCCCTGGATGTCCTGGAACTCAGAGATTCATCTACCTCTGCCTCTGGAGTGCTGGGATTAAAGGTGTGCGCCCACCACCTCCTGGCTTTCCATCCTTAACGTAAGAGCTCATGTGCACACTGCAACAAGGATCAGCTGTCCTGGTTCATATTTAGCTGTATCTGTGGAACATATTACAGAGTGAGATTTTTTTTCCACATAGTGGGAACACTCTTCCACATACTCTGTTTTTGCCCATTATAAGGTCCACTCATAAACTGGCATGAGCAATTTCTTCAACACAAGAGAAACATTTTTATGCAGACTTAGCACACACTAGACTTGTGGCAATAAAACAAGTACAGCCATGTGAAGGCAGTGGTGGTGCAATTCCAAAGAATGGCCATGCCCTTTTGGACTTGAAAGCCTATGACCAGCTCTGAGCCAGGGAGCTCTGGTTGAACGGGCAGCATCCATACTGCTGGCAGGTGGAGTACTGAGTGAAATTTCTGTGGAACAAGGCTGGACAGTGATGCTGTCTCTGACACAAGCCTGAAGGGCTGCAGAAATGCCAAAGGTACTTCGTTCTAAGATGAGGACTAAAGGTTTTTAGCTGAAGGAGAAGTAGCAGTTGAGTACTGAGCAATATTAGGGACCACAATAGCATGTGGTTATTTCTGCAGCTATTTATAAATATGATATAATAAATACTATTTTGTAGGCATTTGTAGATGTAAACCAATTATCAACTCTGTGAAGTTGTTGGAACAGAGAGCAATTAGCAGAGATGTGTGGGACTGGAAGTACCCCGATGATTTAGAGGAACCTACTGGTATGATGAAACTCTGGCTTTGTATCTTTCTGTCACCATCATGTGAAGCCTATCTTCAGGCAGCCACTTTCATTGACTTACGATTTGTCACTGCAGGGTCCTGGTCACTGTTCCCCATGGTCTGTTCTCTCCTGATCTTGATTGCAAAATAATTGTACAACTGGTCAAATAAAGAGAAGCCAACGTTTGCCCTCACAATTCTACATCCACCAACACAGAGACTTCCTGAACACATTTTTCTGGAAAGGTGCTTTTACATATGAGAGTGACTTTAGCTGGCAGTCCTCACAGGACAGTATCAATAAGAGGGAAAGAAAGCATATTCAGGATGCTTCTGTTCAGAGAGCCTTCTGGAAGTTTGCAGACATCAGTGTTTCATGCCTTTAGGTAACTTAACAGGCTTTCTGATAAATTATGAAACCTTTCTAATATTGTTTTCTTATTCTACTCGTTGTCTTGGAACCTGAATAT